TTATCTCCTACTCAACTTCATGTTGTCTTTTTTTTTCATAACTCATTAAGTCCAATCAGTGCTGTCCACATGTACAAGAATACGGGGCACAGAAAACCTACCAATGGCCACGCTCTCAAATCACAATAATTCTTCCTTCCAGAGAAGCTGGAACTGACAGTAGCTCTTCAGTAAAGATGAAAGGCTAGAAAGCAGCCCCTCTATCGCTTTGAGAATTTCAGCTGGCTTGATCTTATGTCGATCGTGTAGAGATGACCACGCCTTATGAGAGTTCCCTAATGGCGATATCCATGTTGTGTCCAGAAGACAGCATTTCCTAGCACTGCCCCTCACCCTCCATGTCTCAGTTTGTGCTTCTATTACTACAATAAAACACCATAAAGAAAAGCAACTTGGGAAAGAAAAGGTTTATTTCATCTGTCAATTTGTAGTCCATCACTTCAGGGAAGTGAGGGCTGGAACTGGAAGCAAGAACCTAGAGGCAGGAACTGAAGCAGACACCATGGAGAAGTTCTGCTTACTGGCTTGCTCCCCATGGCTTGTTCAGCCTGCTTTCTTATATCACTCAGAACCACCTACTCAGGGGTGGCATCCAATGAGCCGGGCCCTCCCACATCAATCATTGATCAAGAAAGTGGTCTCAAGTTTTCCCATAGGCTAGTCAGTATTCTCCCAACTGAGGTTCCCTTGTCCAAAATGACTCTAGCTTGGACAAGTTGACGTACAACTAAGCTGCATGCTCTAACTCTTACTTTCTTTCTGCCTTCTCTTCTCTAGTGTTGCCTGAGCCTAGAAAGGAGTGGGGAGTGATAATAACTAGAACTCCATCACTTATTTTCAGAACTTTGGCCAGTTATGCATCTCTACATTAGCTTCTGCTCATTGTAAAAAAAAAAAAAAAAGGTTTCTCTGGCACTGCTGTTATTGGGTAACCACTTTCTGACTGGATCTTGAAGTCTGTGCCACAGAAAAAAATGTCATGCCTATTATAGTAACCACGATCAAAAGGCCATGGCTAGGGCCGGGCAGTGGTGGCGCACACCTTTAATCCCAGCCCTTGGAAGGCAGAGGCAGGCAGATTTCTGAGTTTGAGGCCAGCCTGGTCTACAGAGTGAGTTCCAGGACAGCCAGGGATACACAGAGAAAAATAAAATAAAAAATAAAAAGCCCATGGCTAGGGAGCTCATGGGCCCTAGGGTACAAACCATGTTTCAGTAAAAAGTTTATATGCACACACACACAAACCTTGACATGATAGCAAATGTGCCTAATTCCAACATTCAGGAAGGTTGAAAAAGGAGTGTTCTCATGAGTTCAAGGCAAGCCTGGGCTGCATAATGTGATGCTGTTTCAGAAACACTAACACACACACACACAGAGAGAGAGAGAGAGAGAGAGAGAGAGAGAGAG